AGTGAGACGAGAAAAGAAAGCACATATTTGGTGCAACTTAATCGTCGAATCTGGCAGAGATTAGGGGATTGACCAAATGTGTAGAGATTTGGGGCAAGATTTGGGGAAATCAACGTGCTCTGCCTAAAGGGAGGTCAATGCATAAAGGAAAGGTTCAGGGCAAACAAGCCATGGGCCTAGGCCTAGTAAAGACAATATTAAGAAAAGGGGCCCAAGCTGAGGCTTTTAAGAGTCAAATGGCAGAGTGGGATCAATTGGGCCTGGCTTTGATAAGGCCCAAGGATCATGGGGCCTTGGTGGATGTTTTTGGGGTTGGGTTGAATAATGGGCCGAATAGGTCAACCTCTTAGCTAATGGGTTAGGCGACAGATCCCCTAGTGTGGTGGGACTTTGAAGTTATGCATAACAGTGTGGGTTTGGACCCATCGGTCGTGGGTCAAGCTGCTTGTATATCAGTGATGACGGAACATGGGTTGCCAATGAATAACAAAGGTGGTTTGCCGACAACAAAAAAAGGTGAGTCAATAACGATGAAGTTAGTTGGGTCAGTGACAAGGCATGGTTCTAGGTCATCAAAGAAATCAGGCAATTTGGACACTGTTGCAGGGGTTGTGGAGCAGTTGGAACAGGGGGTGTCAACTTTGGGGCTCGAGATACTAGTGTGACGTGAGTCAAGCAATGCAGCGACTAACTCTGGGTATCCTTTGGAGGCTAATGAATGCAACTTTCGATTTGTGCCTCTGTCCTTTAGAGATGAGGAGTGACCTTAATAGAAGCAGTTTGATGGGCCGTTAGGGGATGACAAAACTACTTCCGGTTCTAAGGAAGGTCGGATGCACTTGTCGATGGTGGTGCAACCATTGGGTGTGGAAGTTAGTGATCAAGGGGTCTTTACAGATCAGAATCAAAAGTTATCTCACAGTGGTGAAGAACTGGGTAGGACTGGGGTACCTTCAGCTGAGGAAGTGTAATGACCCTCATCCTCGTCTTAGCCATGTTCATGTGCAGCTACATGATTTTGCCTTATTAAGCTTGCATTTACAGATTTTGACTTGTTTTGCCTAAGTAAAGGTCCCTGTCTTGTTTTGTCGTTATGTGATTCGCCTGAGTATTGTTCGTATGCTTTGTTCCTTGCTTGGTGTGTTAAGCCTAGGTCACCCTTGAACTTCTTATATCTAGGACCATCTTGGAACCACTTTGGTTGACCTCCACCTTCACCCTGGCAACTTGACCGAGATGTCATCATCTAGGCCGAGGTGTGCATCACCTAGGCTGAGATGTGTATCATCTAGGCCGAGATGTTATCATCTAGGCAACCAACATCCTTGATCCTTACACCTAGTGATCTTGTTCCTGGACTGGTATGGCCTAGACCGAGGTGTGGCACATCTAGGCTGAGGTGTGGCACAACTAGGTCAAGTGTTGTCCTTCCTAGCAGGGATCATTGAAACCTTCTTGCCCGAAGCCTATGTCCTAATCCGAGATCATTACCTTGTTAGAGTGCCCTTGTCACCTTGCTTGTTATACACACTTTGTCATACTCTTGTCTTGTCATTCTGTCACCTTTTTGAGGAGATCCAATCCGGCGTTGCCACGTGTCCCAGCAGAGGGTTATGTTAGGTACTAGCTGAGAACTCATGCCATTTTGTGTCATACCTTTTACATTGAGAGAAAGAGATGCTCTAGGAAGAGGAAGAGAAGTTTAGAATGAGAGAGCTAGATCCCAAGCTTGATCTTTAGAGTTTGAACCGTTAGATCTGCGTTTTGAGGTTAGATTCTTGACCTACTCTTGCTGTTCTTTATATTGATCCGATCACATTGCATCATCTAGCATGATTCATGAGCCATGCATTGATTTGAAGTTTGGTTTTAGAAAGAGAAAATGATGTTCTTGTGTTCTTGAAGGAAAACCATGTTTTGATCTAAAAGTTTATTCCAAGATCCATGTTTTTGTGTTTGTTTTCATGGAATCTTCAAGTATGGGTACCCAGGTCCATGTTTTTGAACTCATGCCATGAAATCTTAGATTTTGTAATAACAAGTTATGATTTTAGCATTCATGTTCTTCGTGTTCTTCATGTTCATGTTCTTCAAGAGGAAACCCAAATTTTCTAGACTTCATTTCCCTAAGTGTGGTCACCAAGACCCACTCTTGCCTAGATCTCACACCTAGGCCAAGCATCGTATCTCACCTTGGCCTACTTTGCATGATCACCTGCACTTTAGTTTATCTTGCATGCGCACCTAGGCCTAGGAGACCACACCTCGGCCAAGAGGTGTGGGACCTCGGCCAAGACCCTGAATGTGGTCACCGGGACCACACCTCGGCCAAGAGGTGTGGGACCTCGGCCAAGACCTGGTTGGTACCCAACATGTTTTCCCGAGATGAAAAATAGTGTTTTAACTCCCAGCACATGTTTTGCTTTGTCTTGACTTAGTTTTGAAAGAAATGCCGGGATCATTTACACTCATATAAGGCTTGTTTTAGGGATGCATTGCATAGCCATCTTTTGAGCATTTCTTCTTGTCTTCTTGAAATACATTCGGTGGACCTTGCCATGTATTTGTAGGTCTTGGATTCTTGTCTTAATCCCTACACCCGAAGAGCTATGTGAGTGGTATTTTTAATAAAGCTATGTTATAATGTTTTGATAAAAGCTTTGCTTTACTTTATTTTGGAAAAGTGTTTGTTCAAGTATGAATGATTATTCCTAGTTTTGTATCAAGTACTATCTTGTTTTGATGACATTCTTGGAAAGTCCTTAGTGCTAGGGGACTATAATGCAACTAGTACCCTTGTTTGAGATATCTCCCTTGCCACCGACGGTCTTGTACAGATGGGTTTGTCTAATCGATTCCGGGTCGATTATTCCCTTGTTTTGTTAGGAATGTCATCCCTTGTATTATATTGATGCTAGTAAGCATCCCTTGAAGCTTTGAAAGACTTGATAGATGAACTTGGTTCATCTCTTGATTTTGCACAAGATATGCTATGTATCGTTTTAATAAAGATCTCGAATATCATTCATTCAAACCTTTATTACTAATATCATTCACTGAGTATCCAAGCTCACCCTCCCCTTTATATATATGTAGGTAACGAGCAAGAAGGCGGTGATGCCTAGATGTTATTTGTAAGTTGTTTTGGATTCATGTTTTGCTAGCATCTTGAAGATTATGCTTCTTCGTTTGTAATTCATGTCTTTTGTATATTTCGGCTTGAGAAGCCTTTTGATCAAGATGTAATATGTACTTTATTTTATTTGTATCCAAGTTGTAAACCATGTCATGATGTATGTCATTTCATTTGATCTATCCACAGCTCTTATGGACTACTTAGATTTAAATTGCTTCTGCACATGTAGGCCCCATATATTTGTACTCTGATTGTGTGAATTTTTGTAAGTTGGCCTTTGGTAATCTCGGATTACTGGCCATCACAGCACCATTCTACTAGGGCTGGAATGGGGTCGTGACAGGAAGTCTAGGATTGGGTGCTGGAACAAATCAGTGATGATATCGTTTACTGGTATTTTCTTTCAAAGGACATGAGAAGGAAGCATTACGTCTGTTCTCGGTAGCAAAGGAGTTGTGGTGAAAAGGGGCGCCTAGTAAGGAGGTGATCAATTCATCAGCTAACGGTCTTAGGGGAAACGAGAGCTTAAAAATATAGAATCTTCCATTAATTATGAACAAGGAGGTTTGTAGGCAGGATGTGACTCTCGGAGAACTCGTGGGGGACTACTTATGTTGAAATGACGATAAAAATTCTCTATTGGAATGTGCGGGGCCTGAATGATAGGGGTAAAAGGATAGTAGTGAAAGCGGTGCTGGATAGTGCAAATGCTGATGTGTTGTGCTTATAGGAGACAAAGATGGAAGTGTTAGGGGAGAATGTGGTGCGTGATATTTGGGGAGGGAGATTTGTGGAGTGGTTACATTTGTCAGCCGCTGGTACAGCAGGTGGGATACTTTTGTGTTGGGGTTCTAGAGTAGTGATGAAGGATGAGAAGGGGGTGGGAGGTTTCTCTATGTCATGTTTGTTTCAATGTGTAGAGGACCAATTTCGGTGGGTGTTTACTGGGGTGTATGGTCTGTTGCAAGATGCATATCGAGGCGAGTTCCTATTAGAGTTAGAAAGTGTGGCTCTTCGATGGTCGGAGTCTTGGTGCATAGGGGGTGATTTTACTATGGTGAGGTGGCTGGTAGAGAGTGTGGGGAGCACTAGAGAGTTAAGGTGGTTGTAGGCTTTCTGTTCCTTTATTGACAAGATGCAATCGATTGATTTGCCTCTTTAGGGGAAAAGTTTCACTTGGTCGAATGGGCAGAGTCTATCTCGGATTCATTGATTTTTGATTTTTGGAGGCTAGGTGGAGCATTTCTTGGATGCTATTCAGATTCGTTTACCGCGCCCAATGTCGGATCATTGGCCCATTTTACTTAACAATGGAGGGGTTTGGAGGGACCCAACACCTTTTTATTTTGAGAATATGTGGTTGCAATCAGATGGTTTCTTGGAGAGGGTTCGAGAACGGTGGACTAGTTACGTGGTTATAGGCTCTCCTAGTTATATATTGGCTCAGAAATTAAAACTGCTTCAAAAGGATCTGAAAGGCTGGAATAAGGAGGTGTTTGACCATTTAGAGGGCCAAAAGGCAGAGGTGGTGTCTTTACTTTAGTCCTTGGATGACATAGAGCCTACAGGGGGTTTGTCGCTTGATGACATTGCCGGAAAGGAGGTAGCCAGACAAGATTATGTTTGTATCTCTCATATGGAGGAGGCGAGTTTCAGGAAGAAGTCCCGGTGTTTGTGGTTGAAGAATGGGGATTGAAATACAAAGTTCTTCCATCGGATGGCTAATGCACATCATCAGGTGAAACAGATCAATAGGTTCCAGGTGAATGGTTGTGATCTAGACACGGATGAGGAGATTAATGAGGGAATTATGGCTTTTTATCAGTATCTGTTTCGGCCGCACGTAGGGAAGTAGCGGCCAGGGATGGCAGGGGTTCAGTTTGACATGATATCGGTGAAGGACAAAGTGACTTTGGAGCGTGCTATTATGGAAAAAGAGGTTCTTGGGGCTTTGTAGGTGATGTGTGGGGATAAGGCGCCAAGTCCCGATGGCTTTACTACGACATTTTTTCAGCAGTGTTGGAACGTGGTTAAGACAGATGTAATGGCAACTTTGGAGGCTTTTTTTTTGGTCAAGGCATTTTGAGAAGAGTTTTAATGCGACTTTATTGGCTTTGATTCCTAAAAAAGGGGGGCACTAGATATTTGGGATTTTAGGCCTATTAGTCTGCTTGGAACTAAGCTTTTAGCTAAAGTTAGGGTATATAGGCTTCAAGGGATTTTGCAGGTAGTGGTATCTGAGTCCCAAAATGCTTTTATGGGGGGGTCACTAGATTCTAGATGCAGTGTTGGTGGCTAATGAGAGTGTGGATTCGCAGATTTGATAGGGGCAACCAGGTTTGATTTGTAAGTTGGACATTGAAAAGGCTTATGGATAATGTACGGTGGGAGTTTTTGATATATGTTTTGGAGTGCATGGGCTTTGAAGAGACTTGGTGTTAGTAGATACAATTTTGTATTTCTACTGTGCAGCTGTCTGTTCTGGTAAATGGTACGCCGGCGGGTTTTTTTCCAACTCATCGAGGTCTTCATCACTGGGATCCTTTGTCTCCATTACTGTTCATTTCAGTGATGGAGGCATTGAGTAGACTGTTGGATAAGGTTGTTCATGAAGGTTTGTTGGAGGGTTTTTTGGTGGGCTCTCTTGCCTATTTGTGTTCCCCATCTGTTGTATGTTGATGATGCCTTAATCTTTTGTCGGGCTGTGGCGGAGCAGGTGAGCTATTTGAGATGTGTCTTGCTGTGTTTTAAGGAAATTTTAGGTCTACAGGTGAATTTGAGAAAGCCGGAGATGATTCCGGTGCGGAAGGTAGAGAGATTGCCAGTCTTAGCGGCAGTGTTGGGTTGTAAGAAGTTAGCTTTGCCAACTACCTATTTGGATTTGCCTTTGGGGGCATCATTGAAGGTCAAAGGGGTGTGGGAAGCAGTGGTATAGCGGATTCAGCGCCGATTGGCAGTGTCACAACCTAAACCCGCCCCTAGAGGTTTAGGACATAACCGGCCAGGAATCATGAAATTAGCAACAGCCTTAAACAAAATTTCAAAATATTCAAATCATATCAGGGCATAAAAACGGAAGCAAAACAAATAATAATGTCCATTGAACTTGTGCATACATGATAACTAGAATAATTAAAACATTTAGGCACGCTAGTAATTTATATTCATATATAAATCTTATATATCTCACACACACTTCATATCATATGCTAACATTTACACACATTCATTATATATACATAACCCAAAAACAAAACTTATAACATCATAGACTATACAAAACCCAAGTGCAGACACCCAATTTTTGACCGCCCTTAAGACTTGGGCACCGCAGGTTGATCACTCAATGATGAAATGTTACGCTTTGTACGCTCAAGTTTCTCAGCAAGAGTTTCTGTTTTCCAAACTTCAGAGCCTAGAATTGTGCACCTACTTGATCAAACCTATCTTGGTTTCCAAAAACCTGTCTGTTTCATACCTAAACCATACTTGACTATCCAGAGGCCTGCAGGCCAACAGATGGCCGGCAAGCCAAAATATATTGGTCGGTAGTCCATTTCATGGCTAGCCGACCATGTTTTCTGGCTGGCAAATATTTTGCTGCCAGCTGCTGCCAACTGTCTCCCTAGTTGCATGCACTGCACCAGCTGTCTCTGTACGCATATTTCTGACTGAGGTTCATGTTTTCCACTATATACATGACCGCACCTCTCTTAGAATTAAGGTTAGAAAAATTCCAAAAGGCCAAAGACTTACATAGCACTCTCTCTCTCTCTCTCTCTCTCTATATATATATATATATATATCTTGCAACCTATACTTTCTCTCACTACACTTCCTAAATCGAATTTTTAGCTCTTCTTGCTGAGGTTCTTGAGCTCAAATCTCAGCCCTTGAGAGTGAATACTTTATGGTTTATGAACAAAGGAGTTACTCCTCTTCAAGAGGTATAATTTGTGCAATCCTTACACTAGTTCTTCTAACTCTTTCCTTGCTGTTTTTGTATTGTTTTTACACTATTTTTATGGGCTAAAACACGTGGTTAAAAGCTATCAAAGATAGAGGGGTTAATCACCCTTCTTTGAACCTTACTTTTTAAGCTTTTACCCTTGTATTTCCCATCTCTTCGTCAACTTTTTTTGAGTTTTTCACCACTGATTTTCAGAGCTTTTCGAAGGCTTAAAATGTTGTTTTGAGGTCCTAAAAATGGAGGGGTTAGCCTCCCCTCTTTATGCTTGTTTACTAGCTCAACTTCTCTTTTATTTTAGCTTACTCTTTTAGCTTTTTGTACATTAATTTTAGTACTATTTTTAGGTGTTTTAGGACTGTTTTAGATTGTTTATTTCATTGGTGCTTTGTTTCGCATGCTTATAGTGTAATGGTCGTCATAGGTTTGGTGGTTTAGGCATTGGACACCAACCTATTTGAGTTGATAGCATTTATTTCATGCTTTCCATATTGGTATTCATGTGTAATCACCACTACAACCTCCCTGCTTTCGTAGCTTTTATTTCTTTGAGAATTGTTTCAACTGAGTGTTGTTTAAGCTTAAGAAAGGGACCATACAATGCGAAATGGTTTAATCTCTTCGGAGGTTCATTACCAAGGCATTACCTCTCTCTCATGCCCAAAACAACTTCTTGTTTGACATTCTCCTCCATTTAGTGGACTTAACTATCGTTTTTGGACTAAAATGACTAAGGAATGGAAAGGTAATCAAATGAAGTAATAAAATTGGGGCTAAAATGGAACAAGACAGTAATACCAACTTTGGTTCAATCAAACACTAATTGAACCACTTGAGTCTTGAGTCGTTTCATACTCGTTAGTGATGAAATGGTTCAAGTTTTATAATCAACCATTTCCCTTGATCAAAATCATGATAGGGAGGCATTTTTTGTCACGACCCGAACCCGACCTTGTGGGTTAAGGCCATAACTGGCCAGTAATCATGAGATTACCTACGAACTCAAACCAAATAAGACAAAACGCATTAGAGTAAAGGGGCCGAACGGAAGCAAATTTAAGACCTTGTCCATAGAGCCGTGCTTATATGCACATCATAACATTCAGCATTTACATATGTTAATAACTCACAATAGAAAGTATAGTAGCATAAGGTTCTATACAGACAGGATCATTAAAATCTAAGTCAACCAAACAAAACTATACACAAACATATACCAAAGTCCTCGCCAACATGACGAAATACACAGAATGGCAAAAGGGCGAAGACGTGTCTCGTGCGTGAGATGCAAGGGCTGACTCTTCAAAACTTTGGTTGTTCCATACAAACTTCACTGAGGCTGGGTGTGGACCTCTCTAGGCTCACCTAGAAACACATGAATGAGCGTGAGCAAGAGCCTAGTGAATAATATTAAATAAAGAATATACATTGGAACAATATACCCCAAACGGCCTTGGGCCCAGTTTATATTTCTAACTAACACTCACATACATAGACATATGTAAGTTAAGTAACTGTTGTTCCAAACACATCATACGGCCTCGGGCCCGATTCATTCGTATCATTCAGGTTAAACTGGCCTTTGGCCCATTCATACTTTCATGTCAAACTGTTATTCGTGTCAAACTATCATTCATGTCAAACTGTTATTCGTATCAAACTACCATTCGTATCAAATTGTTATTCATGTCAAACTGGCCTTTGGCCCATTCATTTATTTATGTCGCAATGACCTTTGGCCCATTCATTCATGTCAAAACGGCCTCTGGGCCATTCATTCATGTCAAACGGCCCTTGACCCATCCATTCATTCTTGTCAAAATGGCCTCTGGCCCATTCATTCATTCTTGTCAGAACCGCCTTTGGCCCATTCATTCATCCTTGTCAGAACGGTCTCTGGCCCATTCATTCATCCTTCGTCAAAACGGCCTCTGGCCCATTCATTCATTCCTGTTCATTCAATCTTGTCAAAACGGCCTCTGGCCCATTCATTCATTCTTGTCAAAACGGCCTCTGGCCCATTCATTCATTCCTGTCAAAACGGCCTCTGGCCCATTCATTTGGTATTGCAAACATTGTCCACCAATCGAGCCAACGAATCTTATAAAACTTACATGGACGTAAGCAATTGGACAATAACATATTTCAGATATCTTTGTTGAGATATTACTCACAGTGATCGGCTGATTGATTTGCCCTGGAGCTTGACCCTACACATCACATAACACATATGGGTCACAACCGATTCAATCCGTTCTTAATGCACATATTCCTCTTCAGGCTTAATTCTTATTCTTCTAACTCATTTACAATGCTCAATGTATGCCTAAGAATACTCAGAAGTGAAAGAGAACAGAAAACGAAACACAGAATGCCTTTTCAAAATTTTAGAAAACAGGCTCCCCACTCGAGCGTTAATTTCCACGCTCGAACAGACATCATGTCTGTAGAAATACTGGGAGCTCATATTTTACGCTCGAGTGGCGGTTCCCCCGCTCGAGCGGACATAAAAAGTTCTGGGTTTTCCAGAACATGTTCTTGAGCTTCAACTCAACAACAAAGGCTCTAAACACATGATTTTGGCTCAAACTCCACATATACATGTATCAACATGGTACAAACACCAAATTACAGCATTACGAGGCTCAGTTTCACAAATTGATCGTATGCATGTCCCAATTTACATCAAACTCAACTCCAACATAACAAACTCATACATTCAAACTCATACCAATTTCATAACCTCTTCAATCATGCATGCATGTGAATTTCGACTTCATTCCTGTTACAAGTGGTATAAATGATGCTCCAAATCATGGAGCTACACAAAACTACTCATACATGTAAGATTTGGTGCTCTATCCTTTATTTTTTTAACATGCTACATGCTAGAACACCCAAAATTGTAACAATTATGCACCTGCATGTTCATTCTAACTTCAAGTTCATTTCAATTCTTGCTCTTGCTTACCCAACTAGCTTGAGTACACAATTTACAACTTATACTCATAAGTTTATGCTCAAATGCTCACCTAGAGGTTCAATCTTCCAAATAGGAGCAAGTTCTTGAGCCTAGCCCTTCAAAGCTTGAGCTCCTCAGCAAAATCCTCAAAATTGAACCCTCTCTCTCTCTAAATCCGGTTCTCTCTCCCTCTAGAGAGGAATTTCGGATGATGAGCTCAAAAAAGAACAAAGTGAGGGTGTATAATGGCCTCTAAAGGCCCTCTCTCAAATACATTATTCTAATGTAAAATAATTGAGCACTAACCCATTAATTTAATCTAATTAATATGATCCAAATGAATTTTCAATTAAATTTCACCATAGGCTCTAAAAATTATGTCATTCATAATGGCGTAGTCAATTTCGAGTTCTGTGGCCGATAAGGCCCCCAATTTAATTTTCAAAGCAGATAATCAAACAGATATTCCTACGGTGAACAGGTAGAAATTCAAAACCACATATCTTCACATAAGTGGCACACACACACAATCATATTAAACACATGATCATATTCATAATAAGGACCAATTAGCTAAATACGGAACAGGGTTATCACATTTTTGTTGGTCTTTGCTTTTCATTTATTAAACTTTGTCCTATCGACTCATTGATCATCACGCAATAACTTTGCATATTGATGGTTTGTGAATCAATTCTACCCCTCCTTTGACCTACCTAAATGATAAGGGGAGACAAAATGGGCAAACACCTTTTGAAAACACTCTGTTTGTACTCTGTTTCTTTCCTGTTACAGCAGGGTAGACCCTTAAAATAGTGGTCGGTTGGCCATCAACCAGTCAGCCGACCACTTTCTCTTGGCTGGCCAACTACTTCTTTTAGACTAGCAGTGTTCCTTTTTGGCAAAACAGAGCAGTAGTTGGGGGCCAAAACAGATCTTTTCTTTTGACTACAAAACAGAATGGTTCTAGCAGCAAAATTGAGAGGTTTTCGGACGAAAATTTAAA